AGCTGCAGGTTTTTTTCAGTTATGTTTGGGTAAGGTTTAATTTAATTCTGAGTCAAGTGGGTCAGGTAGGCTTCACTGTCGCCCAGCACAATTTTACCAGTTACTGCACTCYTTTGAATCAGAGAAAAATGTAGAAATTGGCATGAGAATAAATCAGATTATCAGCAACAAAGCTGATATAAAGCAAATTACTTTCTACAGCCATTTGTGACAAACAAGACAAAAACAGGCTGCTAGCTTGGTCTGTTGATATATTTAATATTTAGAGAAACAGCTATGCACGTAACTTTCAGTCAGAGACAAGCCAGAAAACAAAGTTCCCCATTGACTGAACTAGGAAGAAAACAAACCAACCCAAAACAAAACCAAACCACAGCCCCCACTTCCCCCAAAAACAATTCAAAACAAAATCAAACAAACCAAGGCAGAATGTACAAAACTGACTCCTACTGCAAYAAGCAGCTGAATTTTAAAGTCTGGGCATTTACAAACGTATAGAACGAATAACATCCAAGAAAAGCCGTCATTTTAAAAATCACTGTCCTTACTTTAAAAGCACAAATTGCAGTTAAGGATATCATCATAATAATTCAAAATATGAAGTATATTCAGAGCTTACATAGAAAAGCTGTCACCTTGAACGCTACTCACAAACACATGCAAAATGCAAAAACTGTGATGTGGTTATAAATTGGCAGAAATGTTTTGCATAGTGTCACAGAAAAGGCCATTCAATAAGAAAGGAGCAAAGAAAGAATGCACTTGTTTATCCATTTTTCATAAAGTTATGTTGAAAAAAATGGCATATATTTTTATTTTATTCCAAAGAGAAAAAATACCATTACTTTTTGAGTGCTATAGCCTATGTGGCTTTTTACAGTCATGCCTCAACAAGCAATGAAATTCGGAGTATGAACATCCAATAGGTGGAGTAGCAAAAATAATCTCTCACCTTTCTGCCCGATATCTTTCATGGAGCCTACTGCATCTTTGTCTCAGGACTCGTACACTTAATGTACAGTAACTTCACCAAAATTACTTCATAACTGGGGGTATTTCAGTGCTGCCAGTGCACAAAAATGCATAATAAAATAAATAATGTTAYAAAGCATTCTTCTAACCTTATCTTGCAAATTTAAGTGTTGGAGGTAAAGATGTTTTAACACTTAGTTTGATGTGCAATAGCTCAAATTCTGAAGGGTATATGTAAAATAGCCAAAATTTACAGACATCCAGTCATTGAAATACTTTTGTATTTGGGCATCTAACATTCAGCACACAGAGAGGTAAGGTGTGGTCAGTAATCATCACCATCTTTCTGGGCTGAAATCTCCAGTGTATTTTCTGACATTCAGAGCAGTAGCTCWGATCTTTGTTTATCTTCTTATAAATTCTTCAATGCAGGAATGAAGAGCATTTAACTCTTCTAGAAACATAAGATATTCCTTTTGYCCTTTTTCAATTGTGGTTCTTGCTATTCAGGAAGGCCAAGAAAAGTTAAGCACACAATTAAAATAAAATCCTGTCAACTGAAGCTAAAAACTACTGAAATACCAAAACTGATCAAGCTGCCAGAGTTAGTGTTCTTCACATTGACATTTCTCCTGTCACATAACACAGTTAATTTCAAACCTGCACAGAACCAGCTTTAGTTCTGCTCATACAGTGACAGAAAAATGATGACAGCCCCAAAGCAAGCACTCAAGGCCTGAAACTAAGCAAAATTATTCCATGTGCAGTGTGACCTTTTCTTTACCAAAATACATAGAACCTTGCTTAATAAGCTGGTTTTTTGGTTTTTTTTTTAAAGAATGTTCGTGGCTGAAGGTAGAGAGAGAGAGAAGTGAGGGCCATTGTCAAATCCATTTCTTTCCTGTCTGCTAAAAATAACCAAAAGCCTTGCCCACCCAATATGAAAAGGAAATCTTTGACAGAGCAACTGGCTGATAGAGTGACTGATGCTGAAATAACTACCATTASGAGTTCCTAAATGAAAGGAGGAGATAAAAGGAAAAATGGCAACAGATGAAACTTATCTGCACATAAAGGAGCAGCAGAACAAAAGTTTGACTGATTTCACTATCTGTTAAGAAATGGATCAGTAAAACCCATGCAGATCYAGACTAAGTAGAGCTATACCGACATCAACATTACTCTTTGTCTGCATGCTTATTTCAGAAAATTTAAAACCTGAAGGTTTTGGATAGCAGATAACAGAAAAATCAAGAAGCATATGTGGAAGGGGAAAAAAAAATTCATAGAATTCTCCCCCTGCCAATTTCAGCAGCATTTTTTAAAAATCAATGACCAGTAGTATTTCACAAAAAAATCAAACACATGTGAAGGAGGAGGAAAAGAAGTACTGAAGTTGTGTCACTGTCTCTGGGTATAAATCTTTAACACATTTTTATTGACTGTAAATATAATATTGAGAACTACTTTTCACCTGCAAGTGGGAGGGATATTAATAGGCAGGGCAGCCACTGTAGTAGGTAGTTCTTCAGAACTGAGGGGCTTGGAGATGGAAAGTCACTACAACTTTGTTGCGTATGTAAGACACTCAGAAATACAAATGCAACTCTCACATAAAATCAAAAGAGTAACAAAAAACCACACAAATATTTGTGTGAACTGAACTCCTGCAAAATACAATCCAATTAACTTTTCTCCTATATCATTCATTCTGCGTTAAAAAAGCAAACGGGTATTCAAAAACAAGTACAAAACCCCCTTGACTTTCTCTGATACCGAATATGAATCTTACCAWGCGATTTCTATGGTTTTCTTCAGTTGCAACATGAATGACTTTAATTGTTTAAATGACTTGCTGCAATTCTGCCCCCTCTGTTTACCCTGTGAACTCAAGTTCTACGACAAATGCCTTGATGTAAGATTCTCCTCAAAATCTTGAAAGGAAAGAGAGGTGAGTAGAATGAAACATGAGGATCCTTCCCAATCAGGCCAATTTTTCCACACTTGGATAGCGATTACCAGAGTGATCCCATACAAATGATTTCTGGTGAATTACCCCAATTCTGTTCAGAACAGAACACAGCTGTACATCATCACAGGGCAGTGAAAAATACCAGTCTTTGAAGAATACAGCTGTACTAAGAGCAGTGCATGCTTTACAGAATATKCTGCAAAAGAAATATTGCACAGAAAAAGACACTCTCAAACTAAAATCAAAAAGATGTTTAAGTTTGGACATTCATTAAAGGAAAGAAACTTGCACAATGAGGTCATTATCCATCAAAAAATCTCCATCTTCATAAAATTATTTCTGATAAATTATATTAAGCTTCATTAAAGAGGTAGTGGGSATGTGAGAGAAGGCAGAGCTGTAAATAAATCTCTTCACTCTATTTCATTTAAAAACACCCCAGCAGGAAGTCATAAAAATAGTTTTGTKCAATAGGCAGTATTTTCAAATGCTCTGCAGGCTCTGCTGCCTAATATCCATTATGTTCACTGTATGCTCACAAGATTGCAGCAATTCAGGATGAAGGACACTATTTAATTTCTTTCCCATCCCTGTAATCACCTTCCCACTTATCAAATCTTTCTCAGTCACAAAAGAAACACTTCGTTGTAGTAATTTCATTTCTACCTGAACAAATTTTCAGAAAAGCTGACATAGCAAGCACTACAGAAGCATCCTGTAACACTGGCTAATAAGCAAGCAGGGGTACTGATATCCCCTGCATTGTGAAGGCCCAAATGTGTTGATGAAGCATAATATGTTTTCCTGAATTCTCCCAGAAGCTTGTTCTAAGGCCTCTTTTTCCACAGCAGGCTTCCCCTGAAGAAGCACTGAACAGAAGAAGGAAGAGATGGGAGGCTGGTCAGCAGCAATAGTGTACATGAAGGAGAGACAAGAATTTCGTGGCAAGTTTAGTGTTACTACAAGAACTTGTTACACAACATTCACATTTGAACACTTCTATTTCTGAAAAATCTCTCAAATACAGTTAGATAACAACATGATAGTTAAAAAATTTTACTTTGCCTAACAAACTACCAGAATCCCAAAATGGCATTTCACGCTTTGTCCACAGCAACCTGCATAACTACAAACTCTTCATACCTGTAAACAGCACAAATATTTCAGCAAYTCAGCAAAACCATCCCATGAAAATAGCTAACACAACTGAAAGCAAGATTTTTTAGTCCTAGTGCTTTGTCAACATCATTATTTCCAGCAGCTGACTAAATGTTAAAGAACCAGAGTAGCTCTTGCARATTTCCTACAGATAAACGAACATTTTCCTGCAATATGTAGATCTATTTACTGGCCACTACCTAAACTAATCTCAGCTCAAGAGGATTGCTCTCCATAGAGCACCTTCTAAAACACATATACAATTGGAGGAAAATGAAACTACAAATTACACATTGAAGCTTAGTTTGTAGACTGCAGCATTTAAAACTCAATATATTAGATGCAAGATGAACTTTATATAGWGGTTTAGAATAATTTAAAAGTAAATTTTATCTCACTGTGTTTGCTAAGCATTCTAGCTTACCTTCAGGGACAATTTTTSCCTGACAGTTCAATATAGACAAAAGATAGGTCATGAAAGAATAGATGAACTACCAAATGAAAAACGTTCTATGCAAGCAGCAGTCTGGACAAACATGCATTACAGCCAGGGTTATGTGCAACTGCAGTAATTAAAAACCAGCATGTTTAAAAGACAAATTTCACAAGATACTGGTGTTGACGCTAGAATATACATATGAACTTACCACTAATGTGAGAAGGACTTTCTCACAATTAAATTGTTTCCCGCAGTTCAAACAGCTGTAAAGTTAGCTAAAAACTCTATTTGTTCTTCAGTTAAAGCCAACAATGTCTATTTTATGAGTAGCTTCTAACCTTTCCCTTCACCCCACAAGCCAGGCCATTTGCTTCCAGAGGGAGCCAGTGAAACACAAACCTGAGAATAAAGCAAAATGTTTATGCCTCCTTTACTTTCACTTAGGACTTGTGCACTTACATTCCTCTTTGCTCGGTGAAGTTACATTCAGTTCTGTCAAAAGTTGCTGGTTGGAGTTAGTGGCCTGCGTGGTTAGAGAGGTATTGCTGTTGTCACTGTTCATTTCCCCAGAGAACAAATCTGACTGGCTGTTGCTTGTGCTGGGAGCAGAGTCATCATCTGGCTGTTTCTTCTGGAAATCTATCAAAACCAAGATTTCGTATGTCATCACACTTGTTCAGTCTAATCATCAAATTCTATGTAAAAAACCCTACATAACAAAAATAAGACCAAAACACTGCCAAAATTATCATCACTTTGACAAACACAAACAGCAACCTTCAAATTTTTACTTCAGACTTGAAATATCTTAAAAGCTATTTGTTGGCGAAAAAATATTTTCAGAACTACACAAACGTCTTGTTTCCCCAGCCATCCAAGAGCATTCAAAGCTTACCACAGCACATGGCACCATTTTTAAAAGAGTTCACACAAAGCATGTAGAGAAACATGGYAAACATCCAGTATGGCAAGAACCAGGGCATGCAATACAGCACTATGGAAAAGTTACATTTCTCCCTGCCATTATATAAAACCCCCTGTAGTAAGAGTTTTGGCAAAGTCAGCGTAGACAGCTATAGTTCCAKGTCAGCATGGGGAGCTAGTGAGGGATAGCCTTTACATCACTGGTTTGATGGGAACTTGAGAGAGAATGTGTGTGTCTGCAGGGGAAATGTTGGGGTGTTTCCTCCTTCCTTCACTTACTCCAGCATTGGTACTAAAAGTTGCCCATGGATCTAAGAGCGGAGAATTAGGTGCGGAAAGTAAATCATCAAAATGCATTAAAGCTATGTACAAATGATTTGGCGTCAAAGTTTTCTTTATTTTTTGTCAGTAAGTGCAAAGTTGCACTTGTCTCCAAACTGTCCCCATAGCGCTAATCCCCAGAGCCCATGCATATGACAGATGCCACCCTCAGGCTTACCTTACCTCCAAACCTAATTCAGGATTGAGGGGAGATATTTTCAAGTACAAATTTCCCCACTGAAAGGTTCTTCCCAAATATACAGTCCTGATGCCTGATTGATTATAGCATTAGTTTCGGTTCCTACCAGCTGCACACTAGATTTCAATCTGGCACACTCTGCCTCTGGGAAGCACACCTCCCACACAAGTGGGTTTTAGTTTGCTTAACATCTCACCTCTTCCTTGTAAAGAGACAGCTGAAATRCACCACCACTTGGTACCTAAGTACATTTTTAAAAACTGCACACAAGGAGAGCATTTATTGAATACAGAAATACATAGATAAATCAATATTTGGTTGCTCATTATTATGACAGAGAAGAAAACAGCGTTCTATAAATATTTGCAGATTATTATGTGTTAGAAACACAGGTTGCCAATGTGACTCACATGGATTGGGAAGCACTACAGCCAAACAGTCCCTAAATGCTGATTTAAGTGATTTACCAGAAAAAATTAAGCCTTAACTTCTGCTGTGGAAGAGTCAGCCAGAAATCCATACTCGAGAGGAACAAGCTCAAAGCAAGGCAGGAGGAGAAGGAAGGAGATAGGAGACAGGAAATCATCCAACTCCACAATACAACCCTGAAAAACCAGCAKGGTGCTTTTTGTCAGGAATGAGACACAGGACACAGTAAGATGTTCTATTCAGACCTCACCAGTTGTTTACAAAGTTTAACCCAAAATTTAGCTTCTGGACTTCATTCATGTGTCTGTGCAAACAAGAAAGCTTCAAGCACTTTTCTGCACTAGCCACCTTCAGGCAGCTGCAGCAATTGTAACAGTGCAGAGCTGCCACAGCAGCAAAATCCACCATGGCAGTGAAATGCTCTTTGCCTCCATGGACCCACGACCTCCTGCTCAGAACTTTTACTCAGACTGCAAATCAATCAACTTTCAAAAAGTTTCAGCCTGCTCAGTTGAGTGGAACCCAAGAACACCTCCYGCCCCTGTTTTAACCACTTCTTCATTACAGACAAGACAATTTGAGAAAAGTCTTAAGACTGATGATCCCAAGCACTTGAAACACAAGATCTGTAACTGAAGCTTCCCTGTATTTCTCACATGTATTAGGGACGGCATTTGGCTTCTGTCAACCAGGACTCTCATTAACACAAATGCAGGGAGAGCAGATCACCTTGCTCTCCCGGAAAGCACCATAAAAGTTGGCAACATTTCCAGGAGAGCTGCGCCTGAATAAATCCAGTTAGCCTTAGCTGCTTAACAAATAAAACAAAAATACACACATGATATAGGGAAGGCCCTGGCAAGTTTTGAAAGGTAAGCTTTATTCCGATTAAAATCAGAATGCAATTCTGTTGATAGAACAATGACCTCGYCTAATAATCTCAACAAGGAAAAACCAGAACAAGAGTTGGCAAGACATTAGTCACCATTTGCAGAAGTTCCTATTTAATTGGCAAGGCATGAGAAACACTTTCATTTTCTGTTTCCATATTTACTGAGACTTTCACCATGCTAGCAAAATCTGTGCCAAAATGCACAAGGGTGACCAAAAATCTATCAAATCCACATTGCCCTATCCTAGTTTATGAAATACATCTTTGCAACTTTTAACAGAAACCTTCTCCATTTCTCAGAAAAGATCCTTTCTTTTCCTTCTTGACACTGTCTCCCTTTCTTCACTGCTTTCAGGTTTGATAGTTTCGATTTTAGGGGTTTTTTGTTTGGCTGGTTTGGGGGTTTTTGGGTTGTCTCTGGTGGTTTGATTTTTTGTTGAACTGTGAAGTATCCTGTTATTAACAATATGGTGGAGCCAGCATCAAAATAAGACATGAAAACTTCCTATTTCCTGCAAGGGGGAATAGCATAAGGAAAGATCTATCAAAAAATGCACAAAATGCATTCAATAAGCCATTACTRCATGGTAGAGAAGCTGCTAGCAATAAGCAGCTGTCAGTCTTCAAGCTCCAAAGTTCTTTTTCTTTGTTGAGTTYAAGGGTTACACCCAATATCTCAAATAGCTGAGCAAGAACAGAATATCTCAGGCAGAGCTCTCATGCACTGGATGTTAACACTAARAGTGTTACTTTTGTTTTGTTGCTTAGTATTTCTTTGTAAACAAAACAACCACTATGTGAGTACACAGTCATGATACAAACATTTCATATATATACATCATATATATACAATGAATTCCAATGGCTTTGATTAAAAAAAAGGCAAGAAGCAACATTTGTTTCCAGACTTCAGGTAAGAAGTTCTTTTGCAGGTCAATCTTTTGCCCATTTTTATTAATAAAATAATATTAATAATGAAAGCCACTGGCTTTACACCTTCTGATTCTAATTCACAAAATCTGAGTCACCACACAAACTCACATCTTCTGCACTGCCCTAAAACTTAGCTAACTTCTTTAGCCATCAATATCCAACAAAATAATTAAACAATTCTTGAGTCCTCAACTTTTGCTTAACTAAAGATTCTGTRACTAAGCAGGAAAGGACCCACCACAGCTTCTTGTAATTTCTGCAATTACAATCAGTTGAAACTTAAGGCAAAGGTGAGTATGAACAATATCAGCATATCACGATGCACTTCTTCTGAAAAAGACAGGCATGTTAAAATATTACATGAAATGATTAATACTAAGCCAGCTTCCACATTTGCACTCATGCTATGGTACAACAAATTGCACCATCTCCGAAAATCTCCTTTTGGGTTATTTTAAGAGTCTAAATTACAAACAATTCCTACTCTCTGACCTGTAACAGATGTTTACATTAAAGAGAAATTAGTTCATTAAAYAGCATTATGGAAGAGGTGTCAGCATGCTAAGAGTAGAAACTTATCATCTTTATAGTAATTATTTTGACTGATAGCAAATATTACACTTACTTACTCTTCAATCCTACAGTTCCCATAACTTAGCAATGTGAACTAGCAAAAAGGTTATTTGGAGAGTGTTTGCTTCTTACACTGCATTAAATGCACAACCTGCATGTTTTTTTATTCCCAGAGCACCTTGTTCTTTTACCGAGCATGAATTAATGTTAGTATAACATCAAATGTCTCTAGTTCATTAGCATCCCAATGTACATAATAGACTTACTCTCATCTACTCAGAAAACAGTTCCACACTTAAAAGAAACKGTTTCTGAGAGTATTCTATGGGAAGCAACACAAATGTTATGACACTGAAAATGCTACAGTGAAATCTTTAAGTTTTTGCATCTTTTTTTTTTTTTTCCTTTCCTTTACATGTCTGGAGAAACTGTTCACATATGACCAGGCAACAGTACTAAAAGTCCTAAAGTTTTTATTTATTTATTGAGAACTCTTCACTGACTTCTCTGGTTCATAGCCTACTGAAGGCATTTCAATTGTCATTCATGCATAACTGTTTTTTGCATAATAAATTAAGGTGAAATGGATAAAACCTCCACTTTCAGTACATACTTGAATGCAATCTAGAGCTCTAATAATGGATTGGCAATAAAACTCCACTTGGAACGAAACGTTTTACCTTTCTTTCTTTTTAAATAACACASAGACAGGAAGATGCATTAGCCCACTTACAGAATAAACACAGATATCCTGCTGTTAGGGGAATGCACTGTAGAATGTRCACAAGCATTTGCATTAAAAGATGAAAACAAAATCATAAAAAGGAATCAGAGGTATATACTAATTGTACTAAATTATATTTTAAAATACATAAATATATTAGGCTGGAGAGTACAAAATAACAATTGCATTATCTTTTTATATGAGCTATCAGCAGATCTCATCACTTCCACAGTACAAAGTACTGAAAGAATTAACAAACAGCAAAAAAAGTAAAAAGGTGATTTTCTATAAAACTGAACTTTATTTAGAATTATGAGTATGTATGGTAGGGGAAAGCTATTCAGCTCTTAGGGGTTTTATTCATAAATACAACTTTTTCTCCTTTTTTTTGGCTTTTCATCATGAAGAAAAACTGAAACGAGTTCTTTATGCATAGTTATCCTTTATGATTGCTATAGGTTTAAAAATTGCAATATATTATTAATAAGAGTTTCAAATAACACTGAGATTTGCACACTGTATATACTGCATTTTTCATAAGCATTTCATTGTCTTTTCAAATAAGCAGACAAGTACTTTAAAAGACAAAATAAAAAAAGATGCATCTGCAAGGACAGCAAACAGAGAATATAGCTGCAATCACA